CCGGGTGACTGGGGGCGGCGGGACCCCGGGGGCGGCGCGTGCACTGGGTGCCCCGGGCCGCGCCCTCCCGAGCCCTCCCGGGCTGCGCGCCCCTCCCCCACCCACCTGAAGGGAAGCGCGGCGCGGGGCGCGTTTCCCCCCTTCCTCCAGCTTGGTCCTCCAAGACCGGGTCAGGCATTGTTTTCTTGCCTATTGTTCCAGTCCCGCGCCCCCGACCCCAAGTTGAGGGAGTTTTGGGGAGAGTCCAGGGAGCAAGGAGTGAAGTCCCCATGTCCCGCGCCGCCGGTGTCGGGGTTGCCGGGGGAATGTTTACCTGTGAGGTATCTCCCGCCCGGTTTATTTTGGTCCCGGCTCCGGGAGGAAGAGGTGGGGGGGGGTTACCCCCCTTCGCTTCCGGATACTGGGAGGAGCGGAATTGGGAAGGGAGGAGAAGGGTCCCAGGGGAGAAGGGACTCCTGAAAATCCTCCCGGGAAGAGCTGAGGCTGGGAGAGCGGTTGTGCCGGGGGCCTGAATGGAGGAGAGGGAGGTTTGGAGTTTCCCCCAGCAGCACATGGTTTGGGAGTTAACTCCTTAAGGAATCTTGCCCAGGGCGCAGGCTGGCATCTCCGCCTGTCTGGCACAGCCAACTGCTCCCCCCACCCAGCTCCTGGGACCACCCTTTAGTGCTGGGGCTACTGGCTCTTAGCGCCACTGCCCTCTCAGTTACCGGCGCTGCACCTGCCCTCAGCCTTTACTTTTGACCCGCACTATGATTGAGGCAGAAGAGGAGGTCCTTGGACCCCCGACTTCCCTGCCTCATCTCTTACTGGCCCTTTAAGAAGTGCCCCCCCCCAATAACAACAAAACGTGTTACTATCGTGACTGTTTCTTGTCCTGATGCCAGGGGACAGGCTAAGAAATGGGTCCAGAAAAAAGGTGGGGAGGGGGCAGAAGGAGCGAGGATCTTCTGGAAGTTTAAGGTCAAGGACTCAAGACTTTTTGCCCCTCTTTAGAATGCTTGGTTGTGTGATTGAAGACTGGCCCTGTGCTGTAGGGCATTCCTTGTGGTCCTGTTTCATAGTGACCATGGGTAGGTGATGCCAGGGGACAGGCTAAGAAATGGGTCCAGAAAAAAGGTGGGGAGGGGGCAGAAGGAGCGAGGATCTTCTGGAAGTTTAAGGTCAAGGACTCAAGACTTTTTGCCCCTCTTTAGAATGCTTGGTTGTGTGATTGAAGACTGGCCCTGTGCTGTAGGGCATTCCTTGTGGTCCTGTTTCATAGTGACCATGGGTAGGGGAGCAGCCCCACCTACTGAAACTGGCTCTAGTCCTTTGAGTCTTTCCCTGCCCCCAGTTAACTCTGGGAAAAAGCCAGTGGCTGACTCTTTTGCTTTGCCCCACCCTTAGCTTGCTATGGCATCGTCCAGGTGCCAACGGGACCCTGGTTCTGCAGGAAATGTGAATCTCAGGAGCGAGCAGCCAGGGTGGTGAGTTCCTGACTCTACCCCCTTTTTCCTCTCCCCTATACCTGAGCATCTCTTTCAGGTTGAGCTAGGGGACCCTGAGGCTGGGGTGAGACATAGTTTTGTCACTCAGGATTTCCTGTTGCCTGACACCTATCAGCCTCATCTCAGGCGTGGGGAGTTTGATTTTTGATTCTTTGAACTTTTTATTGTGGAACGCTTCCATAGCTATAAAAGTAGAGGAGCTGCAGTAATGAACCCCAGGTCCTCCATACTCAGTCTTAAGCAATGATAAACTCATGGCCAAGCCTCTTTCCTCTACCGCCCCCCAACTCAGATCTTATATCATCTTGGGGCCTTTTGGGTATGTTCAGGGAGAGTCCAGCTCAGTAGATCCCCCAACCCCTGTACTCCTTGCATTGGCAGAGGTGTGAGCTGTGCCCACACAAAGACGGGGCATTGAAGAGGACTGACAATGGAGGTGAGGGGAGCCCTGAATCCCTGCTGAAGTCATCCAGGCCCCCCTTAGTAGGTCTGGGGTGGAGGCTGGGTTTCCTTGCTTTGACTGACACTAGAAGACTGGAAACAGGCCAGTCTTCAGCCTGGTGTTGGAAGGGATGGGGGTCTTGGGTTTGCATCCTGCTGAGGCTGGCACCCACACTGCCCCAGGCTGGGCACATGTGGTGTGTGCCCTCTACATCCCGGAGGTGCAGTTTGCCAACGTGCTCACCATGGAGCCCATCGTGCTGCAGTATGTGCCTCATGATCGCTTCAACAAGGTCAGCAGCCCCTTCCAGCCCTGACACAGTCCTTTCCCTGACCAACCATCCTGGGGTGACACTATTATGACTTGATTATGCTCAGCTAGTACTCTCAGGAAACTCAGGCGATAGGGGTGCATCTACCACTGAACCACTTTCTGTGGACAAATAGATGTGTGTTTGTGTTCTGCAACTCTGGCAAAATAGGAGGCTTCCTCACAGTAGGGAACCTTCAGGAGCCTCTAGTTAGTTTCTACTATGTGACAGACCTAGTGCAAGTCACAGACACCAGTGCTTGCCATTGATCAAGACAGATGTGCTGCCCACTCAGTGAAACTCAGCTCTTCTGTGGAAGATTGTAAAAATCAATACAGGCAAATAAATTAAATGCAATGTGTGATATGCGCTGCAGTGAAATAAAGGATACCTTGTGAGGTTGGCTTGCGATAAGGTGATCAAGGAAGGCTGAGTCCTGGGGCATGAAGAAGAGCTGACTTTAAGGATGTCTTGTCCCAGGTTCTACAACAAAGACACAGCATATGCAGAGGTCTAGCAGGTAGGGGAATGGGCACATCAGAGAGCCATACTGACACAGTCTCTGGCCTCCTCAAACCTCACCAGGACTGTGCTGTCCCACATAGCAGCAGCTGACCACATGAGGACTTGGCTCAGTGGTTAAGAGCACTTCCTCCTCTTGGAGAGGACCCAGGTTGGGTTCCCAGCGCTCATGACAGCTTAAAACTCTGTAACTCCAGTTCCAGGGGGTCTAATGCCCTCTTCTGGCCTCCCAGGTTCATGTATAGTGCAGAAACTCTCATACATTTAAAATTGAATATTCAGGATTCAGTCATACCAGTTGCATTTCAAGTGCTTGATGACCCTGGTGACTAGTAGTTATTGACTCCAATTGTACAAGTTAGAGGACCATTTCTGTTCCTGCAGGAAGTTCTGTTGGATAGCACTGATCTGGGATGGTGGGGGATAGGAAGGAATTGAGGGGAGACCAGAGAATCAGCAAGCAGGATAGAGTTCTCTGAAGGAGGGGACAAATGTGCTGTGTCCCACAGACCTGTTACATCTGTGAGGAGCAGGGCCGGGAGAGCAAGGCTGCCTCGGGAGCCTGTATGACCTGTAACCGCCATGGATGCCGACAGGCTTTCCATGTCACCTGGTGAGATCCCTGTCCCCAAACACTTCTCTGAGGTTCATGGTGACTACAGCGTGGGATCATCCTAGCTGTCTTGTGGGTGGTGGTTGGCAGTGCCTTGCTTGGATCTTGGGTTAAAGAGGGAGGAGGTGAGGGCAGCTGTGGTTTGTGGCCTCACCCTTCTCACCGGCCTCTCCTCAGTGCTCAGATGGCAGGCCTACTATGTGAGGAAGAAGTGCTGGAGGTGGACAATGTCAAGTACTGTGGCTACTGCAAATACCACTTCAGTAAGATGGTGAGTCCTACCTGCCACAGTACACACAGGCTCTGGACCAGGCTTGTACCTAGTGCTGGGAGGTGGAAAGACCCCAGCCCTGCCCTTGAGGAGCTCTGCATGTGAAAGGGAATGAGTTGCAGCCCTGAGGGGTGCAAGTCAGAGCTGAATCAAGCAGTCCAGGCCAGGGGAGACAGAACTCAGATCTGTCAGCCAGGAGCCTTTAAGCTGGGTGGAGTTAAATGTCCAAGTAAGATAACAGTTCTTATGATTGGGAAGCAGTACATCTACTCCGCCCCAGCCTCTCTTGCTACATTCCTGACGTGTGACTTTGTGCAATTCTCCCACAGCCCCAAGAACTAGTTGCGTTGCATGTTCTCCATTTTACAGGTGTGTAACTAAGCTTCCCCACAGCTGGTGCGTAGGATTCTGATCAAGCAGTTTGATTGGAAAGCCCCTCGGGAACCTGCCCTACCAGTGTAGAGAGGACCCTAAAATGAGAAGGAGCACATTCAGGTGGCAGGGGGCCAGGGTGTTTGAGGCAGGGAGATAAGAGCCTTTTTCAGTCCAAGGCTCTTGTGGCTGGAGAGACTTGCAGGTTCCCTGGCTGGCATGTGTTTCCAGAGCCAGGCTGCAGCTGGAACTCCCTGCTCCAGGCCACAGGCTTGGAGAGCTCCTAAGCCAAAGAGTAACATGATCAGATTTGTGTTATAGGCAGATTACCATGAAGCTGGGTTGTGGAGACAGCTGTGAGATGGGGGGTGGGGGTGGAGGGATGAGGCAGGATGCTGGAGTCATTGTAGGTGGATCTCTCTAAACATGGGGGTGGCCTAGAAGCAGAAGGTGAGGGTTGACATAGGATCCAGGCTGTAGATAATTTGGTTGGGTAGAGGTGGATACCTTGGGGGTGTCATGAGAAGAGGGAGCTGACTTCTGTAAGCTAAGCATATATCCTGGTTCATCCCAGATCATCTTTGTTTATGCCTGTTGTTCTGGTATAATGATTAATTATACCGGAACAACAATTTCATATTCAGCAGTGCCCTGGTTTGGTCATAAGTTACATGATTACCATGCTTTCAGGGTTTGATGGTGACTTAGGACAAGGTCAGGACCTTTGTTGAACTTGCAGGAGACACCAGGTGGAGACATGCAGATTTGGTGGGAGTTAGGCCCCAGGAAGGCTAGCAAAGGCAGATGGCGGTTGTAAGGGTAGGGCTGGCCTCCCCAGATACCCAGAGTAGATTGGGTCTGGGTGTGCAAGATCCCTGGGAGAAAGGGTCTAGAACTTGGCCAAGTGCATAGAGTCCAGTGTTGGAAAGCAGAACACAAGCAGTTGAGGCCTGAAATTGGCCCTAGGTTTTGGCAGTTAGAGAGTTAGTTTGGACCTTAAAGAGCAGCTGCAAGCCTGGGGTGAGTGAAGCCATCAGAGTTGGCATAGGGAGAAACGAGCCCAGAAAGGTAGTTTGATGTTTACTGCCCACAGTCCCCCAGTTCACAGCAAGTCCTGTGTACAAGGGCCACACTCCTGGGCAGAGAGGAAGAGCCAGGACCAAGGGAGGAAGAGTTGATGGCTGAAGAGAAATGGGATTCAAAGGGAGCAGGGGCTCTCCATGAGTGTCCTCTGCATACCCTCTGGAAATGGGCTGTGGTTCAGCTTGCCTGAAACGGGCCAGGAAGGCACAGTGGAGAGTGGAGTGCAAGAGGCCTCAGGGCCTCAGGTCTGCCAGCTCCACCACAACTTATTGAGGACTGTTACTGCCCCTGCCTCTTCTGGATCTCCATGGTTGAATCTTTACATTGACTAAGCCAGCTGGGGAAGCTCTAGGATTTCTTGACTGAGCAGAGTATCACAGAAGACACAAGTCTTCTTAGTGAAAGGCAGGGCAGAGGGACTGGCCCAAGGATCATGTGACCTTCAGAAACTTTCCTCAAGCTAACGAAGAAAGAGTTTGGCAATTCCTCTGGATCTCTCTCCCAGAAGACATCCCGGCATACCAGTGGTGGTGGAGGAGGAGCAGGAGGAGGCGGAGGTGGCAGTGGAGGCAGCAGTGGCGGCAGCAGCAATGCTGGTGGTGGCGGTTGTGGTGGCACAGGTGGAGGTGGTGGTGGCGGTGGCGGTGGCAGCAGCAGCTTCCTCACTGGCAGGAGAAGCCGGTCAGCCTCGCCATCTACCCAGCAGGAGAAGCACCCTACCCACCACGAGAAGGGCCAGAAGAAGGTGAGGGTCTCCTCTTCTCTCACACACCTCTTTCCAGAAGCTACCATCTTTCCTCTGAGGCTGCTGCAGGGCACAAGGGAGCTTGAGGCTCAGGGATGGGGACCTGGCTTGTCTGTATCTTTTTGGTTCCCGTTTTCCCTATGACATGACAGTATCCCCAGCCCTAGACATGTGGCCCCACACATGTGCACACATCTCCAGTCTGCCGTTCTCATGCCCCATGCCACAGTGTACCCACTCCTCTGTAGCGTGTGTTCCAGAGGGACACCCTTGTGAGTGCTTGCTTGTGTTTGTGGCGCTCTGTCACTGGCAGGATAATGGGACAGGCTATTTTTAGCAGGAGGGAGGATGGGGGGAGGGGCTCTTGGCTCTCAGAGGATCTTGCCTGAGCCACTTCTGTCCAGCCGGAGTCCCCTATCCCTCTGTAGGGGGAGAGGATCTCACTGAGCCCCACCCCTGTGAAAGAATCGGGTAGCTCCCCCACACCCACATGTCATGGTTATCATCCTCCAAATAGCCCCTGAATCAATATCTGGTCACCTTTCCTTCTCTAGAGTCGAAAGGACAAAGAACGCCTTAAACAGAAGCACAAGAAGCGGCCTGAGTCCCCCTCCAGCATCCTCACCTCGCCTGTGGTCCCCACTGCTGAAAAGGTACCACTGCCTACACTCAGGATGAATGGTGCGCTAGGTCAGGAGTGGTAGTGAGAAGGAACTAGATGTGAGGAGGGTTCAGGGTGAGCCAGAGGCCTGCCTGGGTATCTTCTCATAACTCATGGTCAGTGTCACCCCCTCACCAACCACAAACATAGACACAACACACACACACACACACAGCTTACAAGGGGTCTGCTTTCCTCATCCCCAGCAAACACTAACCCACCATGAGGGTGGGGTGGGGTGCTATCCTGTTGCTGGCTACCAGATGGGCATCTCTGTCTAGAGGGCCTCTTGTTTTCAGAGACACTTGGGCCTATCCTTCAGGTTCCAGCCCTCCAGGATATGCAGAGAACTACTTCAGGAGGAATGCTAGATCCTACTTCATGCATGGGGTTGGGGTGGCCTCCTTGATAGCATCTGGAAATCCCTAGTCACCCTACCTTTCCCAGCAGGCCTATCTCCAGAAGTGGGTAGCATCTGAATAAGCAACAGACAGGCCCTTCCTAGACCAGAGTACTAATCCAAGCCAGAGCAGCCCCATCCGGTCCCCTGGGGGCCTGGAGAAAGCACTCCCTCCTGTCCCATTACTGCCTGGCACCTCCACTCCCTCACATGGTTGGCAGAGCTCTGGGCATCTTAGCAGGAGGTTCAGGTATCAGGTTTCCAGGGTGATGTTGCTGTGGCAACTGCCCCAGTAACCCTCACCCCTCCTGCTTTGCTTACCAGGGCTCACCTGGGAAAGCTGTTCCTCCATGCCTATTGACCTTTCCAGGGTCCTCTTAGGCAGGTGGAAACACCTGGGAGGTTCACCAATAACTGGGTAATCCTTGAATAAGCTGTAATTTTGCCCATCCCCCTACCCATCCCAGCATTTCAGCTCCCCTTCCCCCCAGCCCCACTTTTTCCATGGCTCCCCAACCACATCTGGCTCCCTTCAGAACTCCAGCTGCTGAAAAGAACAAAGGAAGACAGAGACCAGGGTTCCGCCCTGGGAGGGGTAGCAGCATAGGGTAGCTCTCATCTCTCATACTCCCCCCACCCCCTTATTCATTCAGTACAATTCGAGTACCTGGTTTCCACCAACAAGAAAAGCACCTTCCTTGGTAGTACCATGAGGTACAAGTGAGGCCAGGCCAGGCTGTGTTCAGAACCAGGGGAAAGAAGGAGAGCATCGGGAGGGCTTTTTAATTCCTCAAAATAATCCAGTGTGATGGATTCTTTTATTACCTCCACTTAGAAAGTGAAGCTAAGACCCAGAGATGTTTTGTAATGTATCTAAAAGTATACTACTAGTAAGTGGTAGAGTAAGGTTTTGAACCAGAGTAGCAGCTTGAGGCCTGTGCTCTTTTTTTTTGCGGGGGGGTGTATTTTTAGGACAGGGTCTCCCTGTAGCTCCAGCTGGCCTGGAACTTGCTATTGAGACCAGGCTGGCCTCGAACTCACAGAGATCCTCCAGCCTTCACCTCCCTAGTGCTAGGATTAAAGGCATGTGCCACCACACCTGGCTTAGGCCTGTGCTCTTAACCAAGCACATGAAACTGTCTTTGCTTGATATTAGTAGCAGCTGCCACCATCAGACTCATCATTTTCTGACCCCTACCATGTCTGACATGAAGCTCTCCCTGACTCCCAGGAATGTACCATTCGCCCCCAAGGACACTAAAGCTGAGCCAAGTTGAAAGACTGCACAACATACTGTGATAAGGGCAGAGCCCTCCAGGCTCTTCTAATACCTCTCAACCCCAGTCCCTCCCGACATAGGACAGTGTATTTCAGGGCAGTGTGGCAACTGCTAACATATGGGCATAGTTCACAGTGCCCCGGAAATAAGGCATAATGGCTCATTTACCTGAATGTCCAGAGGCTTCCTAGTGTGGGGACTTCTAGCTGGGTGTTGGAGAAACAAGGACAGGTTGTCCTGTTGATGCTTGGTGTGCAGGCTGAGGTATCCAGCAAGAGCTTGCAGTGGTCAGAGAAGGGCCAGAGCCAGGTAGTTGTGACTTGTGGAGACCAGAGAGAAGTGGTAACTGGAGGTCCCAAGGCCTCAGGCCAGATGCTTTGGCTGGTGCAGACTCTGGACTGGTCGGGACTGGTCTCTTATTGGGCCCTGAAGTGATAGCAGACACCTGAGTGCAGGAAGTCCTTAGAATTCCATAGTTACCTCCCCACATTCCCGGTACTCCCTGCCTGGAAGTCCTACACACAAACTCCTCTCCCCTCTCCCCTCCTCTCCCCTCACGTGTGCCCCTTCTCCTCTCCTCTCCTCTCCCCTCTCCCCTCCCTCCTTCCCTGCCTGGAAGTCCTTCATGAAGCTAATTCTAGGTTCTCCTAGTTGAGCCCAGGTGAGGCTGAGCTGGACCTGGTGTTGAGCTGCCTTTGTCTTCACTTCCTCAGGTCTCCTCAGCTTCTTCTTCCTCCCACCATGAGGCCAGCACTCAGGAGACCTCCGAGAGCAGCAGGGACTCAAAGGGGAAAAAGTCTTCCAGCCATAGCTTGAGTCATAAAGGGAAGAAACTGAGCAGTGGGAAAGGTGTGAGCAGTTTTATGTTGTCGTCCTCCTCCTTCTCCTCCTCCTCCCCCTCCTCCTCCTCCCCCTCCTCCTCCTCCTCCTCTTCCTCCTCTGGGGGGCCTTTCCAGCCTGCAGGTGAGTGTGTGTCCTGGAGGAGGCTGGGAGCAGGAGCCTCTTACCTTGTGCTGTCCTGGCAAGGGCTTTTGCCTGGTGGTTTACATCTCATTTGCTTTCACAAACTGAAGCGGGGTAAGGGGGGGGGCACCCCTCACCCAGTGGCTCCTCTCCCAGCCAGCTCTCCACCCTCTTAAACTGGAACAGTCTCTCTCCCTTCCTCACAGGGCCTGCCCCTCCAACCCCACTGCAGTATTCACTATCCCTGCTTTGTGCTGCAAAGGCCATTTGAAAGCACCAATATTAGTGCCAGGCAAGGAGGCCTGTAATCCCAGCACTTGGGGCAGGAAGATTGCCTGAGGCCAATGGGCTATGGAGTGAAATCCTGTCCTCAAAATGCAAAACAAAAGACTTCAGCCAATGTTAGTGTTAATCCTATAATCTACAGTCACCCAGTAAGCTCATGGCTGTGGAGTTGCATTTCTCCTGTTTTATTACCAGTGAGAAACTAGACACAGGCAGGAGGAGCTGGCCAGGACACAAGGCTTCTCCATTCCGAAGCACTCCCTCATGCTGGGGTGGGAAGGAAATATGGAGGTGGGTCCAGCGGTAATTCCCCTTCCTTTACACCAGGCTCGTCCCTGCAGAGCTCCCCTGACTTCTCAGCGTTCCCCAAACTGGAGCAGCCAGAGGACGACAAGTACTCCAAGCCCGCAGTCCCTACCCCACCAGCCCCTCCCTCGCCCACAGCTCCTGAACCCCCCAAGGCTGACCTCTTTGAACAGAAGGTGGTCTTCTCTGGCTTTGGGCCCATCATGCGCTTCTCCACCACCTCTAGCTCCAGCAGGACCCGTGCCCCCTCCCCTGGGGACTATAAGTCTCCCCATGTCTCAGGGGCTGGGGCCTCAGCAGGCACCCACAAGCGGATGCCTGCACTGAGTTCCACCCATGGACCTGCGGAGGAAACCCCTGAAACAAGCCTGAAGGAGAAGAAGCACAAAGCCAGCAAGAGGAGCCGACATGGGCCGGGCCGTCCCAAGGGCAGCCGCAGCAAAGAGGGCAATGGCGGCCCTGTTGCCTCCCTTCCCGGGGCTCAGCTGGCTGGCTTTACCGCCACTGCTGCCTCACCCTTCTCCGGAGGTTCCCTGGTCAGCTCTGGCCTCGGAGGGCTGGCCTCCCGCACGTTTGGGCCTTCAGGAAGTTTGCCCAGCCTGAGCCTGGAGTCCCCCCTGCTGGGGGCAGGTTAGTGATCCCTGGAGATGGAGAACATCTAGTCCCCAGCTAGTCTCTGCAGGGACAAAGGTATAAAGATATACCTCTGGTTGGAGCCGGGCGTGTTGGCTCACGTCTTTAATCCCAGCGCTTGGGAGGCAGAGGCAGGCAGATCTCTGTGA